GGGTCAGGGATTTGTGAATAGCCGAATTCGCAGTCTGACGCCCGCCTTACCATCCTTCCCGCCACAGTCACATTCGTCCAGCTTGCCTCCCGTGCTTTTACTACTTTATTGAAGGAGGATTCCACGATAAGGTCGAAGGTCGAAGAAGGGAAACTTACCTAGTGGAAAGACAGGCGGACCCCTAAGGTGCGGACCGACACGCAATTCGCAGCGAAGGATATGCCCCGGCGATCTAGCATGGCCGTCCCGCGGCGCTATCGACGCGGCACGCCCACCGACTGGCTAACCACTCGCCGCAGGTCTCTAGCCGTTTAGCAGAGAGCGTTAGCGTTGAAGAGGGCAGCACCGATGAGAGTCGCATCAGTGCGGAAATCAACGGCAAGAAAGGGGTCTCCATTTGTCAGATTCCGAGACATTTCTCATGGTTTTTCTTCATCCCGGTACCGCTGACCACCTCTACCTCAGTTTTAGGGGCGCCCTGTTATCGTCAACTCTGCCTATAACTTCTTCATCATCTCGATTAGTAATTGTCGATACGCTAAGGTAGTCACAGAAATGAGGTATTTAATAATACACTGAATAAGTGTACTATGTGCTGGCTGTGACGCAGTCGCATGATGGGGGCGCAAGGTGTTGTTGTTTTTAGACGTCTGCATGCGTCATGGGGTGCATCAAACAGAGTACACGGCGTGCCCTTTGCGTTAGACCAATAAGCGGGAAATAATATAGAATGGCAGCTTCGATAGTGGGTATGGTTGCGTTAGCGCAAGGGGTTGGAGTCGTACTGGACATAAACACCTTGTTCATGATTTTAGGCCGCATTCACATTCAGCAGCGGTAAATCCATCGGGTAACCCACGAAAGTGTTAGAAACGGGTCGATTAATTGCTCTTTCTCTATAAAGTTTAGAGGCGACGTCATGTCACGTCGTTGCAGTACATTGACATACATAAACACAGACGAAGAACACATAAAGACAGAAAATCGTGCTCCCTCCGGGTTTCAAACAGAATTATTCACGGTTTGCAAAATTCAATCCGCATGCTCCCAACTGAAAATTGAAGAACACCTCCAAACCTATAAAAACTCATAATGTGCCTGTGCATCGATGACGTCAGAAGAATTCGCTGCGGAAACATGGTACAGTTAAGGATAAAGGATAAAGCATTTGCCGTTGATCAATCCCTTTTTGGGATGCGGCACGCATTCTACTTCCATTTGTACATTCGCAGTGGCATTTGAATGCGATGTGGCCTATACAATGACTTGCGGGGGCCAGCCGATGTACAAGTCAGTGTTCCTCCCAGACAAGTCTGGTACCAATTAACCGACCCCGGAGGGATGGAAGGCTTGGTTGGCCCGGGCGACTCACGACCCAGGATTTGATCCCCGGACCGCTCGCGTGGTAAGCGTGCCACTTGCCACTACACCACTTCCGCCCCATGGTACAGTTCAGGCTCAATAAATCCCCAGCGGATCGTAGACATTACGTCGTTATCTGAAACGCTGGTTGGAAGGGGAGTTTCATAGTCAGAGCTGCTGTCTATAGGGAGCTACTCTTTTTTAATCGGTCTTGAGGAAAGCATAATAACCAAGATAAAATGGGGGCGGTAATTTAGAGAGAGCGACGGAAAGGAAATCAAATGGGCGATAAAAAGATGCGATCTAGACTGGAAAGGGAATTGAAACCATGAATCTGTAATGCAGTTGCGAGATGATCAAGAGAGAAGGGGGGAGTAGGTTAAGACGAGCAGTGGAACACGAGGACATGGAAGAGCTCTGTCTGCAGTGAGTAGGTGTTCGCCATGTTGGGCGGAAATGAATAATTTCTATCTGGACTATGGGACATTTCAAAGACTAAGCAGATCGATCAGATAATGGAGATCCACCTTCTGCATTTGGAGCACTAATGCTAAGCTACAGTGAAAGAAGCTGAAGAATGGGAAAATCACAAATTCGTATCACGGTCCCGCGACGACCCATGAGACCAAAAAAATTTGTCAAGATGAGCGGTATGTTCCTGAATGACACTAACTTGCTCAGTCTACAGTGAAGGAAGTGGCTTAAGTGAGAGATCTAGTTTGCGGTTTTGGGTCAGTTCTAAAGAGCCGTTGTCAACATCAAAGGCGTAGTCTCAGATAAAATTGGTGTGATCATGCTTAGAAAACAAGAGCAGCGGTGCGAGGTGGACTGAAGGTGGAGGAGAATGAAAAGGAGTCCGTCGAAAAAAAATTAGACCTAAGGTTTTTTTCTGATTTTAACTCTGTTTAGACGAGGAGACATTGAACGCGGAGGAGAGAGGACAAGCGAGAGAGCACAATGGATGAGGGGGCGGAGAAATCCTGCATGTTGCGAGGGAGAAGCACCTGAAGAGGTCAAGGCGGTACGACAAGGCTGTAGAGTCCTTGACGCGCGCGCAGTATCGAGCCGCGAGGACGGTACAGCGACTTTGGTGAACAGCTGTGAGATTGATAACTCATCATAGGGTGTCCCCTTAAAAATGGAAGTACAATAAAAAGTGGTTGATCAAAAATCTTGTTGAGCGAATATTTGATTAAAAATGTCATTTTTTCAGGTTTGGTAGCGGAGAAGCGGTGAGCACATTTGTTTTCATGGATTTTGAAACCACTGGTAGAGTAGGTGGAGTTAACGACACACAATATCGTCTGCTGGAGGGGAAGTTACATGAACCGCACGATTTTAGCAATACGCTCACCAAGCTGATTAATGGAAATAAGCATGTCATATTCATTTGTCCCTTTCCCAGCGCTCATCGTCCTCGGGAATGAAGGGAGGGAGACGTTCAAAGGAGGGCATTGCAAAAGCGCTGGTAGGTGACACTAGCACGAAGCCCAAAAAAGGGGAAACGCCAGGGAGGATTTACAGAAATTTACTCACATCCTTTCTTGGAATTCCTTGTCTTCCTGAAAGCATAGTCTTAAGTACTGTAAATGGCCTCACTTATTGTACCCCCCCCCTCCTCCCCCATCCAGTGATGAGCGCCTTTGCCTAGTTTTTCCATGCTTTAATGAGCAAGTTATGTAAACAAGAATATCCGTCATTTAGCTCAACGCAGCGAGTATCCACGAATCACGGAAATGTCGTTCATCAGTGTACCACGTGAAGTGTTTGTTCGTGGGCAGGCAAGAATGAAGGAATTATCCGATATGGTAGGAGTAACTGCTCTTGTATGAGAAATTTGGGACATTTGAAACTATGAAGGTTTTGCTTGACCGTACCGACGCCAGCCGCACTTTTGCACCTCCGCTCTAGGTAATTCCTCGCCGCCTGATTCTAGCCATTTGGCAGAGCGAGAGAAAGGAAGAGCAATAAGTTCCATGTTCGGTTTTCTTGGAACCTGGGCATTTCGGATATTGTGTTGTTTCTTCTGTGCCATACAGGTTGTTATGGTGGAACACGTTTATTGGTCAACGTTTCGACAATTCGTCGTCTTCAGGACCTGAAACTGGTTCGAAGTCCTAGCTCTGTAGCTCACCCGGTGAAGCGCCTAATCTTACAAGTTCCCAGAAACGCGAAATAATGCAAAGGCAGAAAGAGCGTTAGCATACAAGGGCAGCACCGATAAGAGTCGTATCAATGCGGAACGCGCAAAGAGTCCCTTCTCTAGGGCTTTTGTCCCTTTCTCATAGTATTTTCTTCGTCACTGTGCCACTGCCCACATCCACCTTGATTTATAATGCCTGGCTGCCTTTTCGCCATAAACTCCGCCTTCAAAGGCCGTGAATGCGGTGGCCGGGGAGGAGCTTACTCCACTTTGCCATTAATCCTTTCCTATGCCTTTAAATGGCCGCCTCAGCCGCTGTCCTTGATCCGCGTGGGCTCCTGCTTCGCGATAGAGAGCAGGCAGAGCGGTGTTCACGTTGACCACACCATCTATCTGAAATTTAGGCTCCCAAAATCAAAGGTTGTAGTAATCCATCTTGTGGCTCATCTTATGAGCTTTGATCGTCTCTGGCTTTTCCCATTGCCCCACCACGTAGTCCTCAGCTTTTACTTACAACCGTCATCAAATTAACGTACCCACTGTCGCGGAAGTGGTGTTCAGATGAGATGTGCGAAGCTTTTTTGATCTTCTATGTTTAAGGTGGCTAGCGAGAGCTTGTATGTACGACTAGCAGCAAATGTCCATTCACGTCAACTGAATCCTGAGCTGGACGAAAAGCACTGGACTGCTTACGAAGCCTCTCGAATAGCTGGAAAAAGTTGTAAGGATTTCCTGTCGTGGCATAATGAAAGCATGCAATTTGATTGCCTTCGAGAGCTCAACCTCCATGATTTCCGTTTACTTGATCAATAATCAGCGTGCGTATTTAGTTACTATAATAGAAGAGGAAGAAAAGCGGTTGGGGCGTACACGACAGGAGGCCCGTCGCGCGGCGAAATTACAGAGTCACCGGACATGTCGCAGCGCGTGATGTACCGTGTAGGAAGTGAAATCGTACCTTCTATCTTAACTTGACACGAGATTCAC